TGATCAAACGAATTCGAAAACTCGTTTACTTGATGTCATTGGTTTAGACGGAACCTACAAAACCAATAACAGAATTTTATTTTTGTATCAAATAGGTGCATCGGATATGAATTTAATGGCGATACCTGTTTGTATAGTTTTTTATAAGTCGTAAAATATCTGCTTTGCTGTCACGGTTTCTTCCATTCTCCAGGCGCCCAACTAACAATCGAGAGTTGGTTGGTATTATCACAATTGATTCGCCTGCGATTGCCAATAAAATATTTCACTCATGAAATGGTCAGCTTGACGGACCAGATTTACTCCTGTTTGTAAAGCGTGATCGATAGTCGAACTCACGCACACCAGCATATTAACTCCCTTTGACCTAGTACGACTATACCTTGCTTATTCACCAATCACTACACTTACAAAGAGAATGAGTGAAAGTGGCCTGTATAATTCTTAAGTCGGATAGAGAGCCTTTATTTATTCAGTTTGTTGACTCATTTTTCCTATTCTCTAGTTACTGTTCGTTATGTTATTTATGTCTTTATTTTTCCCTGTTTAATAGACTGTATCAATTGTTTATTTTGTACAGTGTTGATTTGCGTTTTAGAAACAGACAAAGTTTATCAGGCCAAAAAGCATACTTGTTGTGACTTTGGCTAAGCTAAGACTCTGTGTTGGACAGTCTGGGGAATAGTCTTGAGATTGGTTTGTAGGAAATTACTTCCTACACTTGATTTTCAGCTGACAACGTGAGTTTGCGAGAGAAAAATATCGTCTCTATGATGTAAGAATTCTCTCTGGAACCATCTGAATTATTAATTCAATCTGTCATAATTGTTAACTTTCCTCAACGAAAAGTTGAAATCTAATTTATTCGATTAGAATTCCCATTCATCAAACAATTTAACATGACGGTTAATATTAGTATTAATAATAGTTTAAGTTATCCGATTTTAAGTATTCAGTACTGAATTTTGACCAGTCTTTATTGGCCTATATACATCTTGTGTGGATATATTCGATATAGCTATTTGTCATTAGTTATTTAGAATAGATGGACTGTAGGATGTTGTATAATCCAAGGCGCGCTTTTTGGCCTATTTAAGATTCGTCATTCCGATTTATCAATACCCCAGCGCTGATATTCACGTATCCGTTAAAAGGCTTAGGGGTTATACAAACTCCGTAGTCTGGTGGATAGTGTATTGTTGTTTGAATCAAAAAGTAATGGGTTCGAGACTCAGTGTGAATATCAACACGAATGCAGGTACATTTACCTAGCGAGCCCCAAATAGGAAGAAATGTACATCCTAGATTCCACTGTTAGCTTTAATCCATCTATTCTAAGTAACTTGACTGTTTACAACTTTTTAAGATCAGCATAATATTTAAATATACGTTGACTAACTAAATTTTAATGTTGTCACCTTCATTGGCCAAATCTTTTGACCTTTACTAACTGTAAGTTGTAATTTTTACCATCACTCTCATTGTAATCACCATACCGATTATTGTGCTACCATCAGTTATTTCGAAATGTTAATACTTACTTGGGGAATTAGAAATATTTATCATTTTTCCTAATTCAATGCAATGAAGATTTTCCACATCACTTTTTTTCGTCATTCTTTTAGACAGATTTTAAAAACTTCGTATTTTTGTCTATAGTTAACTAATTCCTTTCTTTTTATGGTTTATATCATATGATTTGGCTCAAATTCACTGTTTTATAATGTCTGGTTTTATCTTTTCTGAACTATATGATAAACGAATTATCTAGATAAAATAAAATTCGTTTGTTTCAATTCGTTATTTCACTGGCAAGTGATTAGATTAATTGGAAAGTAATTTTTTTCTACTAAACTGATTGGTAGGCTTCGTTTCACTGAAAACGATTATTTTCAAGGTTGTTTTCCCTATGAACCACGAAAATAGAAAAACGGTTTGCTGGGTTATTGAAAAAACTAATTAATGATGATGGTCAAAAATGCACGTTCATTGTATCTAAATAGTTTCTTACTGTATTCGTGAGTCATTTAAAGTTGAAATATTTCAGTACAGATGTACGTATTATGGAATTTAAGAGGTTTATTTGCTTTATACTTTACATCACGGACTGACTGTAGTTAGACCCCCAGTGGGATAATGGTTGCGGATTGCTGAGAAGTCTTTTAATAGAACTAAACATTTGTTTGGTATTTCCTGATCTTTAATAGCTGTCTAACTAAGACTAATTCATGATACTAACTACAAAGCCCAGCAATCTCCATAAAGAATTGCTAATGCTAACTTATTTATTCATTACTAAAAGGAATGTGGTTATTTCTAAATTCTCTTTGGTATTTGTCTACTCGATAATGCCTGGTAAATTTTCGCGCGAAATTGCAAGCTCATTGCGAGAAAGCTTATGCGTTATGTGAGCTAAATGAAGCTTGACAATATTTGCTTTTTAAAATGATTAAAATTAACAAAAATATCTTGTGTAAAACCAAACAGTGAATATGACTCGGTGTTTCAACAAAATTACAAGAAATACCCTCTCGTGATAGAGACTGTATGGTACAGTATTTGACGTTATTCAATGCATCGTTAAGCGTGTTTGTATAGTTAGATAATATTCTTCTTACTTAATCCTAAGTTGTTCTAGTCACTGTTTGGTTTCACACTAGATATTTTTATATCTAACGTTAGCTCGTTATGAAAACCTTAATTCATAATCCTAGCTCGTAATTATTAGCTCAACTCTTAATTCCAAACCCTAACCTTTTGCATTAAAGCTGATGTCAGTTGATGACCGAAACCCCTTATGTCGCTAAAATTCATAATACTAGCCCAACTCACGGTATATTAACTTAACCCTTTTCCTTTGCAATAATGAATAATTTAACATCCAGGGATTAATTAGTCATATCAAAACCGTTATTCCACGTAGTTTTACTACTGTTTATTATTATTTGTTTTATAATTAAACTCTATTTTCCGATTAGCTAACTAGTTGCTCAAGGTTGTCAGTATAGTATACTTCTACTGATAAGTGTTAAAGTTTAAGGATTTGGTAAATAATCATTAACATTTAACGTTCGTCTTTGAAGCACAATATATAATTACCATACATTTAGATAAAACATTTCAATTGACTCCCAATTCAATGATGGATAGTTGAATTGTTAAACAACAACACCAGAAATTTTTCTTTACTGTTTAGAGGAACTTCGTTAATCAGTTCAGTCGACTATTGTTAGGCATGGGAGTACACTTGCTCCACTTATTTAGATTTAGACGGCTAATTTCAACAAAGTAACAATTTAAGGAACTGGTTGAATAATCTAAAATTAATTTAGTAAGTATTTAGATTTCTCCAGACTTAACAAAGTTTATCAGTGAATTGCATTGTCATTAGTGTATAACCCGTCTCATAAAACTGTCATATTGAGCTAAATAATTGTGTTGATAAACATCTTAACTAGTCATGAAGAATGCATGCACTTCATTATATTTCCCCAGCGAGATACTAGTAGAAACTGACAGTACATGAACTATTTATATAAGGATGATAAACACACATTTTGACTCCAGAGATTTTATTAGATGTTTAATGGTGATCAACAGAATTTATAAACTTAGATGCAACCCGTTCAACACTGCTGACTAGGTATTATGACAGCAATTATTTTCCTATGATGGATTGGTATAATTAATTTTCCTAGAGTTGTAGTTTCCATCAGTGATATTGTCTGTGACTGTGCATGCGAATAAGAATAATTTATTTTTCTGTTGAAGTGTACATTTATTTTTAAGTCATCCTGCCATTTATTGCCAGAAATTATTAGGGCTCGTTACAGTCTCTTGTTAATCAACTCATATAAATCATTACACTGAAGCCCGTCTAAAATTTCTACCAGACGATCTCATCTTGTCCTATTTCAACAGCTTAATTATTTTTGCCATGTACTTAGATTGTTTGAATACTAGTTGACTTTGGTTTACCGTACCTATAAGTAGTTTATTTGTCTACAAAAGTATCAGGATCACCGTTGGATGTCACTTTTAGAACTTCATCTGAAATACCACAAAATATAAGAATTGATAAATACAGTGGGATGTGACCTAATCGTTTAAATGATGTTTAAGCCTATTTATTACTTTGGGCTTAGTTTTTGAATAATAATCAGTTTGAGATTGTAGTATATTCTCTCGAAGGCTCTCTTTAGTCTATCTCAAAACTATGCTATGTAATTTTCCTCTAAATGGTGAAGTATTATACTTTATTTTCTTTGAGACAGAATTCAGGAGTTTTGATGTTAGCTGAGTTTTACACCAATTTAAGAACTTAATCGGATAACTGTTTGATATCAGTTTCTTGGTCAGAAGTTTGTTTCTTCTTTGAACGCATCAGAATTAATACATTAATTCACTTTCCTGTGTAACCATTTCATGATCTCATTTCTTGCGTTACACGTCTGAAATAAAGTTCATTCTAACATCTTTGTATCGATTTCTATACTGTTGACGATTGTCGTAGAAACAGTAATCTGGTTTATACTAAACGGGAATTAGAATAGATTTATCGGTACCCAATACAACTTATCTGGGTTGCCATCACGACCGATAAATACGAATGAATTTTAAGTTTTATTGTATGAGATTTGGGGATGCAGTTGTCTATATGTCTTTTACTTCCTTCTCCGTCTAGTTGTGTGTTACCCATGTGTTCCAACCATGCATGGTAGCTGGTTTGGACCACAGAACTTACGTTATCCTTCTATGTTTCACATTTATCATCCTGACATCCTTTGAATTTCATTGGTCTATTAAGAGAATTATTCAGAACCACACCGAAAGATATCATGTTCTAAAATAATCAATATAAATTAAGCGGATTATGTACGTGTAGTAGTTAGAAATTGAATGACTGTCATGTGTATTAGTTTACTAACTTTTGTTTTTCTATTGCATTTGTTTAAATTCTGATCATATAATCTGAAATTACTTTTTTTCCCAAAAAATAGATCATTCAACTTTAAATGATGAATACTACCAAACGAAAACTTCTTTTCAATCATTAAATTCAACTACAAATAAATTAATCAAATCTCAATCACCTCCAACAAAATTGAAAAAGTCTTCACATTTTACATTATTAACTAAAACCAATGAATTTGATTCAGATGATTTATTATGTACTAAAAATGATACAAATTATCATCATCAGCATCATCATCATCATCATGTTATTAATCAATTAAATAAAGAAGAATTTTCACGTCTTCCTGTTGGTTTTCGATGGAATTATATTTTTGTAAAATTATCCAATTGGTTTCAACGTATACATACAATAAATTATTCAAGAACATCATCAGATCATGTATCATCTTCTATACCAATACATCATAATAAATCTGACTCTATTTCAAATTCTTATCGTTATCAAATAAGAAAATATGAACCGACTAGATCACAAAGTCAACCAGCTGAAAAATTTGGCAAAATTAAATCTAACTTACATAATAATGATCAATTTTTTGGTGATTCTAAAACAAAAGTACAATTATCAAGTGAAATTAATAATTCCAATCGAAATATTTCATCGTAAGTTGATTTATTTATTTTTCTTTTGTACAGTAATTTATCACAATTAAGTGTAAACAATTTATATTCAACTGTTGTTCTTGATATTATTTAAATATTTTTTTTATTCAGAAAGGGGTTTTGTGGAGATTTGAGTGATTTTTTTAGTTGAGATCATTAATAACATCCTAGATGCGTACTACTGAGGAGTACCACGATCGGACGAAACGGCTGTCCAGTGCTTCCAGGTTTTCCATAGTGCTCTAGCTTCAATTAACTCATGATCTCAACTAATATAAAAAATATTTTTATTCAATTTGATAATCATTGACTGTTTAACTAAACCATATATTAGAAACCTGAGCCGATATTCTTACGATTATTGTAACAAGTGGTTAAAGACGTTGAATAGAATGACTTAGAATCGGTCGTAATGAAACAAATGCATTTTCTCTTTTCCTTGAAATATTTATATCTTTTACTTCGTAAATTTGTTCTTCCTTCTAGAATTATATCGTCTCTGTCTACTTTTTCCTACTGTTATTATTATCCTTACTACTACTACTTCTACTACTGTCACGACTTCCACCACTCCGATTATTGTCTTCATAATTTCACCTTACCGTACTGATAAGGTCAGTCAGTCAGTCAGACTGACTGATAAGGTATAGTAAACTAAACAGATCAATAGATGTAATTTTTAAGTTGATAATTGTAGAGATTTAATTGTTTGAAAAAGCATATAAATTAAGATATTTTTCTTAACAAATCAAAATTTTAGTAGTTGAGATCATTAGTCAATTAAAGCTAGACCACCATGGAAAACCTGGATGCACTGGACGGCCATTCCGCCCTGTTGTGAGACTACTCAGCAGTGCACATCCACGATCCCGACTCGCGAGATTGGTGCCCAGGACCTATCAGCTTCGTGCCCGAGCGCTCAACTTCTAGACCAATGAGTCGGTATCTAACGGTTTCAATATCTAACTTCAACTAATCCACGAAATTGAGCGACACATCCCCCATTGTCTTCAGTGAGTTACTATCTCACCCGGTCGAACTCCATTGGTCACTGCTTCTCACTAGAACTTCAGGAAGTACCTCTTGAAGCTAGTCACTAGTGAGCGTATGTTGATTAACATCAGAAGTTTTTGTGGATATCATAGTAATTTTAATAGTTGAGATCATGGCGGTCTATCTTCAATTGACTCATGATCTCAACTGTTGAAATTACTATAATATCCACAAAAATCCCTTCTGATATTAATCGACCGAAATTTAATTGAAGACTCATTACAAATAGTATAAAACTGGACAAATATTTTGGCTTAATTCTAAAACTTTTTAGCATCACATAGCCACAAGATTGAACTGATATTCATATCGAAAAGTGATTGGCTCTATCACAATTATTATTATTACCGTTATTATTATTATTATTATTATTTAAGTGGATGATGACAATTGAACGGAATTTTAAATGATTCAAGTGTTAATGGAATGAGGTTAATATACATGTTTTTCACATCATAATAGAAGTAGACTAGCAAATAAAACAGTAGTTTAATGGTTGGCTCTGTGGTAGTTAACTACCTATCACTGAATGAAAAGTTCCAAGTCTGATCCACACCTACATATTTTTGGTCAACTGGATAATATTACAAAACCTACATACAATTTTTTTTTAGCTCAAATCTAACTTCATAAACGTATACTTAGTAAGTTATTTAAATAATTATTCACCAAAATCATAAACAGTACAAGTTAGTGTACTCAACTTAAATTCACAATGTTTATATGGCAACTAGTGATTTTGCTTCTTAGTTCAAGTGGTAATAAGTAGATTAAGGTTTGAATCCTCTACATATTGTTATTTATTATTATTATTCTTTAAACACATAGATATCGGCACAAAGAAGCACCAGATAAATACGCGCCTCACAAATCTCATTTGATTTGTGTGAGGGCTGTGATACTGCCCGGGTCCCCAAACCGAAACAGGTGGTTTTCTTAGGGGGCCACACCCGTAGCCTTCGACCTAAAGGTCTGATCCACAAGGTACTGGAGTATCGTAAGGAGATGCAGTCCCATGATAGCCGGTGACCAACGATTGATTCATACGCCATTTGTTCCCTCAGAATACTGGAGCTCATGTGCACCATTGGTTTGGAATGAGGGTTTTCCAACTCCCCTAGGTAGACCCTCCGTGTCCACTGACCCGGTTAAAGCACCGGACATTCGCTTTCGTCCTCTCAATTTCGTAAACAACAGTAATGCCACGAGAAGGCAGTAAGTAGGACTTCCCTGGCAGAGGCTGTATACGCGTGGCCATATGAGAGCATTTCGAGAGAGAAGGTAGGTCCTCCCCACTCTCGGCCGTACCAGGGCATTTGTGTATACATATAATTACAACTTAATACTTATTATAAACTGTTTATTTTTATTTTTTTAAAGTATTTCTAAAATTCGGATTAAACTTCAACGGTTTAATTGTTCAAACCAATACTTTATAAATGTAGTTTATTTCTTATATATTTGTTTTTTTTTTTATTATTCAGATCAGATTTTCAATATATAAACAATTCCAAAAAAGGAAATTCATCATTCTCGTCATCTTCATTAATATCTAATGAGAAACCAGTTGAAAATTTATTAGATTATTATCATACTACTCAATCTCCTATAGTTTACAATAATAATTCTAGCACTACCAAATGCACAAATAATAATTCATGCTCGTGTTCAATGATGTCTTTCAATAATTTAACATACACTTCTTCAAAATATAATGATATAGATTGGTTTTGTACTCAAAGTTGTCCAATAAATACACATCAATTAAACGAACTAAATCTAGATAATCAAATATCACTTAAGTCATGTGTATCTGATTGTTGTTGTTGTTTTTGTCAAAGATACCTCAATTATTGTGATCATAATCGTTTAGTCCCATTTTCTTCCAATAATCAATATGAACAAGATGATCAAATTGTACAATCATCACATTATCATGGTCTAAAACAACAGTATTACTACCATTCTTATTCTTGTCAACTTCATCATCATCATTATTATCATTATCATCATCACCACCACCGTCGACAGCAACATCATCATCATTTAAGTCATGATTTCAATCAATGTCATATAAAGTTCACAACTAATCAGCATACAACAAATACACATTGTACAAATTATCCAATACAAAACAAAGCTGTAAGAAATTTTCATTTGAATTTAGAAAACCAATACGCTACTATTGGTCAACTAGATCAAATGGGATCAGATTGTAAGAAAATATCTCCATCGAATAATAAAAAAATAGATTGTTCATCACCTGTTATCACTTTACAGTGTTTAAATTTGACAGAAAAACAATCAAATAGATTAGATCATAATATTGGCTATGTAACAAGTGTGTATAATAATGATAATTCAATAGATAGTGAGCATTCAATGAATACAAGAAATATCTCATCACTTTTCATAGATTATCATCAACCTCATAATCAAACGCTTGTACAAAATCATGAACATGAAGTTGTTGAGCATATGAATGAAGGTGATAATGTTGTAAAATGTATAAACTCAGAAATTACATGTTCGAATCTAGATAATGATAAATCTTCTGATGAAAAAGTACAGTCTATGAATATTTCAAAAACTGATACTACTATTGATACATTTGCTCATCAAAAGTTTGTAACGGATTTGATACTTTTAAAACGCGTAAGTCATCTATAAATGATAATTGAATATATTCACTAAGATTTAATTGGTGGTTTTTGTGGAGATTGTAGTAATCTAATGGTTGAATTCATGAGTCAATTAGAGCTAAACCACTATGGAAATCCTGGAAGCGCTGGATGGCCGCGTGCGTTATCGTGAATGAACACTGCCGAGGAGTCCCATACTGGGACGAAACGGCAGTCAAGTTCTTTCGGGTTTTCCACAGTGGTCTAGTTTTAATCGACTCATGAACTGAACTATCAAGATTTAACTATTTTCTATATGCTTGGATGGCACTGAAATACAAGAACGAGCTTGAGAGAATCTGGGAATGACCTTGACAAGCTATCGACACATTCAGATAATCAAAATACAGCGAATGAATTAGGGTTTTATAGTACCATGATTAGGATTCAGACATGTTATTTAAGTCTATGAGGATAATTATTTGGGGTTAAGACTAAAATATATATCTAAAATAGGTATTAGAGTTAGAATTAAGATTCACACTTCAAAATTGACGGTTTAGGTCTTAAGAATTATTATTAGGTTTGCCGAATCCTAAACTGTACATCCTAATTGTTCTTTTAAAAATATGTTCTGATACTTTTTTGAATGAATTTTTTTCAGAATGGAATTAACCGGGAGAAATTCCTTTGTTATGACATTTACTTTCCAATCCGTAAACGGCATTTCCAATTTATGTATGATGCGCCGTGACGTTGAAACCTTTTGTACATTCACTACCACCACGTTTTTATAGTTCAGCACTGTTATGTCCTATGGCTCGTCAAATAGCACGTGACAAAATCGCCAGTCAGAATATCGGTTTCCATGACTTTTTCCCTGTGTTACACCAACGGTGTGTCAAGCAGCACTAACAGCGTTAATTTAATTCTAAGTCCTCATTGATCCTATGTTCTCGCCTGTCCCAGCCCGTTCAGTCCAGAACACAAATATCAGCCTCCACTGTGTGAATCGTATATTTCATACATACTTGATTTATATCCAAGTAAACCAGACCGTATCACACCATAAAATGAAAAGTAATAATTATATAAGATCAAGTCAAAAAGTGACTGTGAGTATGAGATACTGTAATTAATAAATTAGGATTAGGTTAAGAAGGATAAACCGTATAACAGTAACCAATAACTCAAATGAAAGCTTATGATAAGAATAATATGAACATATATATAATTTAGTTACTTAGTAATTATCTTATGAGGATCTATGTAATAATAATTCCTAGAGGTTACCATTCATTTATTCTTTTTTTGGATATAACAAGCTCAGATAATGTTGGTTAGTTGTTTTTTTGAGATTATAGTAGAGAAAAGATTTCAATAAAAGTATTCCAAAGTTTTTATTCATTACACTGTAATGTAAATTTCAGTTTGATTATTTTGAAAATGATGCTAATTAACTCGGAAACTATAAAAAGGATAATTTCATCTTGTCTTATTTAAGAACTTACACTAATGTACATATTTAATGGGTTGTTTTGTTTTTTTCATTTAAACATTTGTAAGACTGTTTCAACTTATTAAGCTTAATAAAGTGTTTTCTCTATTTAACCATTTTTCAATACTTATTGAATAATTCTGGGAGCACGTTTCGTCCTATTTGGGGCTCTTCAGCTAGATATACCTGTATGCTTGTGTACCGGCAGCTGACGAGTCCCAAATAGGACGAAACGCGCGTCCTGGAATACAATGCTAGCTACTATCCATCTTTGATTATATTGCTTGTGAATTAAGGCTGTATCGATGGAATACTCACAGTATACACATATGGCCAATAAGAGACTGATCAGTTGAAGTTCTAAACTTCAATGGGAAAATTCAACCAAACAATACCAATCGGATTTATTACCACTTTGTGCAATAAGAACCTTTGTGATTTGTCAAGTTTCATATATCTTATTTAGATCGTCAACTGTCAGACTGAATTTGGTTTGTAGTTCTGTATCTGTCTATCGATATCGATGAATTTGCTTTATTCTAGATGAATTTATCTCAATGGAGTGTTTCTGTTGCAATATGAATGTTACGTCAAAATCTAATTGAGTCAACAAAGCGAAGAATGCTCGAGTTTCATTTATTTTTGAATTAGTTTGTTATATTCCAAGAATTTTGCACACATCTTCTGTTGTTCATATTCTAAGTACATGAATCGAATAAATTCTCCGTTTCTCTAGATATCCATATTGTACTGTTTACTTATCAATCGGATTGGATTTCTAAGCTTTTATACAAACGTTGTATAACTCTTTTTATACTACTGATGAGTAGTGCGATAAATAACATTAAAAATGCTAAGTGAATTTAAATAACATTAAATGTTTTCTTATTAAAGATTGGTTGGTACTGGGGTCCATTGACAGTGGAGGAAGCTGAATTGCTATTAAAAAACTGCTCAGATGGAACTTTCCTTGTACGTGACAGTAGTCATGATTCATATATTTTAAGTGTCAGTTTTCGCTCTGGTGGTCAAATTTACCATACAAGGATTGAACATCTGGCTGGTAAGTTATTTTAACAGTACAAATCGGTACATTAAAAATAGTTGTTAAATACCTTACATATTCTGTCGACTGCTCAGATTAATATCTTATTTTATAACACCTTCAACTATACTTCAGTTTGTATGTATTTAAATATATCAAGCCCTTTAATTGACTTATTTAATAAACGGTGTCATCCTGTCGGTAACAATTTATCTATATATTTACGTTGTTGCTATCATGTTTGTATGATCATGTATGAGTGATCATGCATTACAGCCCACACGTATATAGCTTAAGTGTCAGTTAGTCAAATAGCTCGACGACTGATTCGCTTTCTAATATATTTGTGCATATTAAATCCCATTCTTTTATCAATTCGTCTTCATTCGCATCCTCATTTTACCTGTATTCGCTTCATGTATTTGATGGTCTCGTTATCTGTGCTGTACGATAATAAACTGCAGTCATCTCTTTGTACCGTCTTTTCAAATTTATACACCGCTGATATTTATTTAATAATGGTTGTGAGAACGAATGATATACTAAGTAAAGGAATTATCTCGAAGGTATTCCATTACAATTTAATCAAGCGAACTATATGTAAATATTCTTCCTGTTCCATTTTATATGATGTTAAACGCTCTCGTAGTTCTGGAATCAAAACACAAGATTTGTCTACGACATTTTACTTTTATTAATGATGCAGTGCATTTTAACAAGCACTAATTCGTGAGCTGTTGAAGGTATTTACACACATCAATGTACGATTCGAGAAGAAGTGCTTTCTGTGATATTTATATGGGAATTGTTTACAAAAGACATTCAGTCGACTAAGCAACATCCAGTAGCTCTGTCATTTCGTTAGCTAACAATTTGAAGCAAGAAATATACGCACCACGTATATGCACTATTACAATTAACTAAATGTTTAATGAAGATTTTAATCGCTGAAAAATTCTCATCATATTAAAACACAATTATATGAACGAAGAATATTCTTTTCAATGATTTCTCATCATGTTCTACAATTATAAATTAATAATCCATTAAAGAAGATTGGTCAAGTTTAAGGCAGAGTACATCATTTAAAAAACTGTAACATGTGAATCAAGGATTGGTTGTGACATAAAATTAAATCGAATCGTTAATGATGGAATGACTAATATGAAGTGTTAATTTGAATCAGTTTATAAGTGAAATAAAATCGTAAGATAAATGATCAGAATAAATATAGTTGACATGGAGGTGAGAGAGAATAATGGGATTACAAATCAGAAATTACGTGATATGTAGGATAATATGAATTAGTAGAAAGCATGAGTCAATTGAAGCTAGACCACCATGGAAAACCTGGAAACACTGGACGGCCGTTTCGTCCTATTATGGGACTCCTCAGCAGTGCGCATCCATGAACCCGCTCTCGCGAGATTCAAGCCCAGCTTTCTACTATGAAAAATACTAAATCTCCACAAAACTCCTGATAATTAATATGAATTAGGTCAGATATAGTATATAGGGGTGGATGGTAAGAGGTGTATATAAAACAAGTTCAGGATATGAAGATGAACATTATTCAAAATTAATATCACCATATTATAAAATTGGTTATTAACAAGTTGGCCAGGGTAAAAGGAGCGGCTGGACATATTTCTTTTGGATGCAAAGCTCTGGCTTTTTGATCTGAATAGCGATCGTTTCAGCCGTCTGCAATATTCTCAGTCTGATGGAATTAGGTAGACTGCTGTTAACGCGTTATATTATTGTGAAAGATTGCTCCATGTTGGCTCTGTGTCCCGTCTGAACTAAATGGAGCTGTTAACCGTTTTGACTACACTTTTGCTTAACCACACTGGGGGGTATTCACAAGCCCGAATATACAAATTCCTAGAACTGCCTAAATAATGTACTCTGCCTTAAACTTGGTCAATTTTTTATGGATTATTAATTTGGATTTATAATTGTAGAACCTGATGAGAAATTATTGAAAAGAATATTCTTCGTTCGTGCTTAATGAAGACACAAGAAATGAAGGCAAACAGTTAAGAATGTTAATTAAATACATTTACAACAGTATATCAATCAAATATCACATTTTCGTGGAAATACTTAATAAAACAGTACATTAACAGGGGATCTATTATCAAGCGCCCAAAAATGATTTAGGGTGATATAAGCTACTAAGTATTAGTAAGTAGTATAAATTGATATGGTAAAAACACTAGATATTAAAAGAACAGAATAAATAGCTAAACTGTAATTACAATCCTTCTTAATTTTCAAGTGTTGTTACTAACTAAAAACAGGAATGTAAACCAAAAGAGCAGTACAATGTGTTTGATATTGATTCTGTCTAGATTACTAATGGAGAGTCTTACACTTCAGAAAATTCATGTTCAACACAAATAGCAAGTCTTATGTGCTGTCTTTAAAGGCACGGCTCATTAAAATTTTAAAAGAATTTCATGAAATGTTACGGCTTGAAATATTAACACTACAATTCCCATGACAAAACCTTTTTTGTGGTAAGATTTAATGTATACAAACAAGCGATTAGTCAGTACTTTTCTGTAGTGGTTATTATTGATCGAATTTTAATTAACCTATCAGTTGTCGTATAAGGTCACTAAATTAACTATCTTTTACTGTTTTGCTAAAGAACTGTACTTAGAGTCTCTGAGGTTTCATTGCAATATCAGGTAACTTTTGAAAATTCGGATAATAACATATAAACCTAGGTGTTCAATATTCTGGTAATGTTTATTCACCAATCAACACTGATATAAATGTTAACCATGAAATTGTTTAATTACTGAGATTCTAATTTTACAATTTACATTACAGAATGGTTTTAATTAGGCAGTCACTGAGATCTAGGAAGCAATGAGAATCTGTCTCATCTTAATATGGGATTGCTCGGTAGTGCACATCCACGACCCTGTCATAATGAGTGAACCCAGAACCTTCAATCTCATTGTGTGCTCTTAATATCTAAACTATCGAGCCATTATCATTTTACGTTACTGCACGTTCAATACATTCTAGTTTTCAATGGCTATCGAGCTAGGATTAGTCTATGATGTGATCTGAAAATTTAACAATCTTCACAAACTTCCTATCTAAAATATTTTTCAATTTTCATTTTATTACAATAGTTATCTTTTGTTATTTATTCATTTATAATTACAGGTAAATTTAGTTTGGCTTTATTAAATGATTTAAATAACAATGTTTCATCAAGTGTAGCTGAATGTATTGAACGTGTAATGGTTGATTCTTTTCAAGATCGTATGCATTTTTTACCAACTCTTGATGATTCTTCACCATCTATTAATATTAATACCAATGTACAGTTTATTAACAATGATCAACATCAATCTGACCAACATCGACAACTTCAACAATTTAATAATAACAATAATAATAATAATAATACATCACAACCATTTGAATCCACACGCCGTTCTACCTCTACTACACATATTAAAGCTTCTTTAATTCATCCATTATCACGTTTTTTAATTGTTCCATCATTAGTACATTTATGTCGTTTTGAATTATTATTACATGTTCGACATGATCATATTGATTTATTACCATTACCATCGAATATATTACGTTATTTAAAAGAAAGTCAATATTATGCGGAATTTATTCCAGCTTATTTAGAATTGTTAACTAATATGAATAGTAGTAATGATAAAGTTTAATCATAATATGATCAATTTACAATCAGCATTTCTAGCATTACATTCCAATATATAACTAAGAACTTGTTGTTATTTATTCAGTATATATATACAGAGAAAACTATCAAATATTATCATGACCATGGATAGTCTACACAAATTCTTTTCTTAAATATAAAAACGCTATTCTATTGTGGTGACGGTGGTGTTGTTCGTTTACTTCTATTTGTTTATTTGTTTCACATCTATTTTGTATTGATAGCAGTCGGGTTTTTTTTTATGTAACTGTTGATGTTGTGTTACTATGATGATAATCATTGAAAATTTACCAGTGGATATCATAAACTATACTACTACTATTACTACTACTACTTAATCATTAACAGTAGTTCCTTTTTATGACAAATGGTTTGTTTGGTGAATATTTAGATATACGAATACATAATGGAATCAATTATAGTTCTATCTTTTTTTAAAGAACAATGAAAAAAAAAAACACTGTGTATGAATTCTACCTCACATTATATTTGTAAATGTAAATAACTATATTTTGTCTTCAAATAGTTACAATATATATATATCCATAGAATTTTTATTCATACATTTTAAATTAAACGTTTAATTCATAAATATCCATATAAACACAACTACTTACTTACGCCTGTTACCCCTCGTGGAGGAGTATCTAACCCTGTCCTGAGCAAACCTTTCCAGTTCCTTCCAGTTCTTATTCATCCTTTTCATATCTGCTTCTATTTCATGGCGTAATGTGTAAAACGCTAACCAGAAAAAAATATATATATATAAACGCAAGTTTTGACTTAAAATCAATGCAACATTCAATATTGAAAATATCAGTTCTTATTTTCATATTCTTTCTGTTATTGATTATTTCTTGGATTTTATGCATAGACAATGATAAGATGAACTTTTACATCATAAACTTCATTATTGAATTTTCCATTTGTTATTATTATTTATGTATATAAGTGTACTGGTCATATTGTTTAGCTGGTAGTTTCTTTTGCCTTTGTTGTTCTTCTGGCGGTTTTCTTTTCACTGTTTATTTTTTATATAGCTGTTCTTATCAATGTGAGTATATCTAGTAGGTAGTAGTAGTAGTAGTAATAGTAGTGAGTAGTAAGATTCAATCACTGTTTAAATATGTTTCAATGTTCTTTACATCTACTTACTGAAATCATAATGAACTGTGTAATTTTTTTATGACAATCAATTCGTATTTTGTTGTTTTCTTTTACATTACAAACACAAATACTGTAGTGTAGTCTATTTATATTCATATAAGTAGTATATGGCGACGGTCAGACATAGAATGTATTTTGGCAGAAGACCGATAAGGAAAAATTTGAAATGAAGCGCAATTGGTAGGAAAATGCATAAACAATGAAATTAGAAAAGATGGATTGATATTTGCAAAAGGAACAGTGAAGATTGTGACCATTGATTGTTATTTTGCAAATTAACTGTTCATTGTATGGTTATCAGAATTTAATGAGATAGTCTGTAATTTATGCTTAAATACATTCGCTTATCCCCAACTAGTTTTTTGTTCACTACAGTACTAATGATAATAAATAGTTCATTTATGTAGGCTAATAGTTTTATTCACATTTCCAGATAGAAATAAGTAAATGTAACGTAAATAGATTTATGATTAAATGATCGACAAATTATAAATCCACACAATTAAGGAGATGTAATTCATATCCATAATTCTTTTTTTAAATTTTAAATGTAATTCATCTAATTTATTCAGTTGGTCGAATTGTTAAAATCAAGCATTACTCTATTTAGAAAAGACTGAGTATGTGTAAACAACTATAGAATGGTTTACCATTGTAATTACTATTGCGATGTTTAATAGAGTAATTTTTTCAGTCTCTTTAAGGATCTAATCTGAAACACTTAAACTTCACATTGAATATATTTACATTGGTTAACTGAAGGTACTACATAATGTCTGGTTAATTTAGTTAAAACCGTGAGTTTCTTAATATTATGACAATGAATTCTTAAAAGTTTTTTAGTGAGTGGCAGAATGATTGGTTCGTTAAAAACATGGTAAGAATTCATAATGTCCATGTTTCAAGCAAATATTAGGTTCTGACATTAAGAAGGAGAGAAATTAATAAGTCAAAAGCACTTCTCACTGTTCTTATTTATTTATCACGGTGTAGATCATAAATCATAAATTTCTATTTTGATAGTAGAGATTATGTTGAGTTAATCTCTTGATTTTTCTAAAGACTAAGTAGAAATGAATACGATCGAGTTAAGTTCACCATTAGTGAATGTTCAGTCAACAACAAAATTTAGCTACGGCGTAATAGCCATTGATCAGTGTAGTCACAAACCATTAAAATCCGTGAAATATTTGTAGACAATGGTTCGATTTAGTACATCATTATCACACTGGCATCAATTCAAGATCCACTGAAAACTGGGAGGTAGGAGACAGTTAGTTGTTTCGTCTTTGTTTGGTAGTCCCGCAAGAATATACATCAATTATTTAACCCAGGACCTTGCTGTCTGTCAACAATGGCTGAACTTTTAGACCACTGATTCAGGGTTCTATGAACCATATTTTCACGTTATCGACATTTCCTAGGTTGCACCTCTATTACGGTGTTTAATTAGGACTTCTGCGGATCCAAGTTTCTAATGGTGGTCCAACTAAGTCGCTTGATGATTTCAATTATAATCATTGTAATGGAAAGAAAGTACTGGACTTTTTTGAGCCCAACATCCTGCAATAAGCATAGTCAGAATATTGTAAGCCACATTTCTCAAACTGATGTTGAACGTGGTATAACGAAAACAGCCCCTTTAGTTGTAATGGATAATGAAAGTTCTTCATCACAGGCTAAAGTGGAGATTGATTATAAACTAGATGCTGGAACCAGTATTTTTATCCCTTGCACAGATTTTACCAGTAGAATACAACCACTAGCCATCTCGGAAGGCCCTGTTAGTGATATGGAAAGCGGCCCTAAGTACTCTGATGAAGTTACAACAGTCGATCAGTCAGTAAAGCCTTTGAATGCTTCGGCTTGTATGATGCATTCGAAAGGAGACCAAGAAGAAAACATGACAATTAGGAAGGAAATTAGAGACAATCATTGTGGATTATTTGTTGGAACAATCGCAGTAAGTAAGGGAATATGTTTATTAGAATCCAACAATGCCATCAATTATCATATGCTTAAACATGTGGAAAATTATTTACATCACAGTGGTGGTATGGTGTATGCTACTTATGTTAACATATATAAATAGTATGTAGCACCAATCGGAAATGGAATGGCCGACAGCAGAAGATTGAGATGAGGAGAACAGGAAGGATTTCCCTCAGTGTGTAAAGGACAACCCAAAAAAGATATGCAAATGATGTATCTAATATATGATTTTCATATTTTACTAAGCCGTTGTATGATTTTGCATTAAACAACAAATTGGTTTTCCTCACCTGCGTTTTCCTCCACTTCAGTGATATTACTTACGTAAATTGTTTGGTAATGTGATTGGTCATCATGATAGCATCGAAGCTAAGAATGGTGAAGTTGAGCAAAGCAGTAGCATAGCTTAGAAAATATGTTATCTGTATAATTATCATGTGCCTTCATTACCAAAATAGATCCTTAAATGTAGGCTGACAGTCGAGGAAATAGACGCGGTCAAGTTTAATTACTAGTCTTAGTGAAAAAAAGAAGTGTGTGGGAAACCCATGAAAGAGCTCCATGACAATAACGATGGCGCAATAAAAATAAAGGAATTGCAAAATCTGTCTGTTATGCGAATCGAAGGATCACTTTGTGTCGGTGGACGATTTAAGTAATTGGACTGCCTACTCTCATTCAAGAATCCCATGATTTTACCTAGTCATCACTTCGTAGTAGAACTGATCATCCGACACTACCACTACCTAGAAGGACAAAACTATACCTCACAAGTGTTAGCTACCATACGGAGGGAGTATTGGAATGTTAAGATGATCGGCGGAATTAGAAGGATGATAGGTAAATTCGTGGAGTGCATACATATGAAAGCCACATTGGACCAACAGATGATGACACCTTTTTCTGTCGGTTGAGTACATAGACGTTGGTTCTATTTCTTTTCTGTGGTAATCGAAGAAATGAGGAAGAAAGGTATGGATGCATATTTACGTGTCTTCAAACGCGTACTGTACGTCTAGAATTAGTTTACAGTCTCTAAACTTATGCTTTTATAATGATTTTAATATGTTTTATAGGCAGACTAGGGATTCCAACAGAACACTATAGTGACAACAGGACAAACTTCATCTGGGTAACTTCTGAATTGCGAAACGTTGTGAATGTGGGACAAAAATAGGACAAATGATATCACAACAACAAAGGGGATGCATCGGCATTCCAATCCACACCAACAAGCCATCGAGGTGGAGCTTTGGAAAGAAAGATACGATCTGTGTGGAGAATTCTGCTAGACATTTCTAAGGAACAATCCTTACACGATAACAGCTTAGCAACCTACTTTGATTAGATAGAAAGAATTTCCGTGAAGTCAGATCAAAGCGATGACATGACTTTCATACATAATAGCTTGCTGCTACTAGGAGACCACTATCGTTTAAGGATGGAATACACTATTGCGGATAGGCATTCGAAGCGATGGAAACAGGTAAACTACTTAGTCAATACCTTCTGGCGTCAGTGGATGAAGGAATATGTTCCGTTAATACAAGTAAGACAGAACTGGTTTTGCAACCATAGAAACTTAAGGGAAAGTGATGTAGTGCTTGTGGCTAACGACGCCACTACTCTCGGTTCATGGTCTATGGGAACTATTGATAAGTGAGAGATAGATTAAGATGGTCAAGTAAGAACAGTGATGGTACGTATGAAAGGAAGCGTAGTAAGAAGAAATAAGCGAAAGCCAAACAACTATAGGTAGTATGTTAGGTTTACGGGTGTACAGGCGTATTGTTGTAAGTCCTGTGCTTCCCATTGACATAGAGT